GATTTATCCCCATATATTCAGCTTACATTTCTAATCTTGATCACAAATTTTTGCTTTTAAATTAGAGTAAAGCCTTTAAAAATAATTCAAAAGCCTCATCTTCTAGTTGAAGAACAAATCTTATGATAAAGAATGTATCAATCTAAGTTAAACTTTCCAGTGTGACTATTGCTTAAGTAAAAGCCTATTGACAAATTAATGGACTGGAAGATATTCAGTCATAGCACAGAGTATATAACCTTTAGCAAACCTTTGTGCATGAGATGAAATACCATGCCAAGTGGTTATGTGGCCTGTGCTAACAGTTGGTACCCTTCTAACCTTAAACAATGAAGAGAGGCTAGTGATGAACATCCAAGTCCTGAAGTGAGAGAGTAGTGACAAGTAAACTGAAAGCGGAGTTTTGACACTCTTCAGAGCTGGGTGGGACTATTGTGGAAACCCTAGAGACACTATTTTAGATTTAGAATGGATTGGTTTGTATTGTAAGTTCCAAGGTGAGTCCACACAGATCACCATAAAGAGGGAGGGCATCAGTTGGACATTCTTCCTAGATTTGTGTGTGCGTGTGTGTAGCTCACTTAAGTGGCTCAAAGCTGTGTTTCCTAGATGTAGTTTTGAATGGAAACATACAGAAAGGCTCTGTGAAGTTATGCTGTCACAATATCATCTACTTTCTTCTTCACAGCTGAAAAAACTTGTCTGTTGTGAGGAGTCAAGCTGAGAACAGAATTCCATTGGGAGATATAAAAACACTATTGTGAAAGAAGCCTGATCCTTAAAAATGCTTAAATTCAGGGCATCACGGTCAATCTTGAGTTATTTAGTGTAAGACCTGCAAAAGTTAGTAGTTCCCAAGGAGAATAATTATGTGCTGAGGTATTATTGCAATACACTCATGTACCACTGCCATAAAAATATATGGGAAGAGGATCACAGCAACTGTGTTTCAACCCTTAGAAAAAAGATCATAAGCAGAAATAAAGCAGACTGAAATGTGGTAGACTATAGATGAAGATCTCCAGTGTCTCAGTAGACAGACAAGAAACAGAGGAAACATCTGTTGATCACTGAAGCATCTCACAATAAAAAGGGTTTAATTCCACATTAAAAAAATATTAAAATAGATAATGTGGAAATTAAGTAGAATGGCAGCCAAACAATATCAGACAAATACGTCTATCAAATGTAGCTACCAGCTAGCAAGAACAACAAATATAACAATGTTAAACCTTTAGAAAATCATATTTGAACAGCTGCCTTTGAAGTATTGGGAGACTTACACTTTTAGGGTCACCAAGAAATGTTAATCTTTAAAACTTGAAATATGTTAAAGCATACAGTGCATGTTCCTTGGCATTAGGAAAGTATTAGCAAGCCTTTGTTAATAGTACAGTAAAAAACAATAAAAGAATATTTAGGCACTTGAGACCCTGATTGTAATACAAGTCTAAATGTAGCTTTCCTGGTGGGGTGCACTAAATGGTTTCTGTGGAAAGAGGAGCAGATATGATGAGGTTTTTGTTTCAGGGAAGTTTGACTTCCATCCATTTATAATGCTCTCTCAAAAAACAATTATAAAGTCAGTGAAAGAAGTTAAGTAAAAAAATACATAATGTGATAAGACAAAAAAAATTATTCTGTTTTCTTATGTCACAGGTAGCTGCTTCTGTTGCCGGGTTATGGTTTCTTAAAAAGTAAGTAGTGGTGATCATTTATTGAGAATTTGAGGTCTCCTTTATATTGATTTTTGCTGTAAGTAATTAATAAATTCTGCCAGAATTCTATATGAATAGGCACTAGCTTGCATTCAATACAATGGTTCATAGATGAATGATCTAAATACCTCATGTAGGTGGTATTTTAAGCTGGTGCTTCTTTAAGTGAAACAATCAAATGGCGTGTGCCTTGTTATTGAGCACCTAACAACACACACAAGATTTTTCCGGGATCAGCTCACTTTAGAGATACATGGACTTGATTATCCTGAATACACTGTGGTTCACTGCTGTCTTTCAGAGGTACCAGGTGAGATATTTGCTTAGGAACATTTTAAGGGAGCAGTTTCTGTAAGACCCCATTTGTACAATTTCCTCTGCTTACCTATGAAAAATTCCCAGAAGTTACAGGATCAGACAGATGAAGGTTAAAACATACCGAGTAGCAGTGTGGCTTTTCCTGGGTTAAGGCTTTTGATCCCTGTTTTTGTCCCGCAGCACTAAGTCTGCATGTTTGAGTATAGAAAGCATACGGTGACATAGGTCTGATCAGGAGGAGGAGAGATTTATGTTGATGTCCCCTTCAATAGGTCACTAAGGCCTTTGATTTTTATAGTCCACCTAAAGCATTTTACTTCCATAGCAATTCACTTTTTTCAACACTTAAACTGTTTTTTCTCGTTAAAAGAGGAGGATGCATTTTCCTCAATTAGGCTAGTTTTGTCAGTGATTAAGCAGGCAGTTTAATCAGTTGCAAAAGACTAGCAAAGCAGTACATTTTCACAGTAGTTTGGAGAAAACTGTTGGAGGGGTTGTAGTTATATACCAATGGCTTAATTTCCATCTTGGTAAAAACCCTTCATTGCCCAATTGTAACTAATTTCAGAAATTACTACAAATGCTGATAGGTACCTGAATCACCAAAGGTATCTGAGGGAATAAATAAGCCTTTTATTGCCTTGACTCCTGAACACACAAAGAAGAACTTTGCCTTAGTGGAACATGGGGTAGTTCATAATATGTATTTCATACATACAGGACAATATTTAACAAATAACTGGAAATATATATAACTAATCATTAACATAGTTTTAAAACAGACAAACATTGCAGTACTATTTGTTTAGTAGAGAAAGAAACTCGCAATTTCCAGTAGTGCATTTATTTTTAATTTCCATCACCCAGGACAGCTTTGAAAGCAAATGCAACACAATCAGAAAACAGCACCTCTGACAAACCTCCTGTGATTGTCACTGACACTAGCACCTACTACATCATTTATATCTACGTGGGAGTGGCAGATACCCTGCTTGCCATGGGAATCTTCAGAGGTTTGCCCCTTGTGCACACGCTTATAACAGTGTCTAAAACTCTTCATCAAAAGATGTTGCATGCAGTTCTTCATGCACCTATATCAACATTCAACTCTTGGAAAGCAGGTAACTGAGATGGGAACTGATTGACTCATGTATGGGTTTCATTTCAATTAAACAGTTTTCATTCTGTTAAAGGAGACTGTTGCTTTCCATTTACATTTTCAGTCAAGCTGAATGTTAAAAGTTTGCCACATAAAGTATTTTTTGAATCTTTTAATGAACCTTGATTGCACTTTAAGTGTGACTTATTTCAGTTGTCAATTCAGATTCTGAAATATCACCTTGTAAGTTGGAGAAAATTGACTGTTAACTGTTTGAAGCAATAAAACTAGAGTAACTTCTAATGAATAGACTTTGCCTAAAACTTAGTAGAAAAGATATAGTCATCTATGTGATGAGTGACAAGGAGTCAGGTGTGGATAATAAATAGTGCTTTATTTCATGAGTAGTCCTACTAAAATGGCATAAAATATCAGTTAGTGTGAATAATGGGTTTCATATTCAAATTTGGCTTTGGAGTTGATACAGAGTTCGTTATATAACTGATGCAACAAGTTCCATCTCCCACTGTATGTGAAATTACTGTCCTGTATCCTTCTTACTGGTGTGTACTAGATTACAGGAGACACTGGTAAATGACAATACAACATAGGGTTTCTCCTTCATTTTCCCATTATATTCTTAATTCTGTTGTTACCTGCTGATTAATACAGTAATTCTGCTCAGAGGCTAAGAAACTGGTGTACAAACTCATACAAATGCTGATGTGCAAATTATCTGTGCATCAGCAGAGCCTGATGCATAAGGGGTACAGACCCTGTGCTTCATGCCTCTGTTTCTGTCCTCTTTAATTGCGTTTCTTTGTTTTTATTACATTTTCCTGGGGTTTTTCTGAGATTCCAAGAGCTGAAGCAGAAGCCAAATTCCTCCATGAGGAAAGAAGGTGTAGCTCTTGAAATTGGTGGAATTACTTGTACTAGAAAAAACTTTGTACTTATTAATATTTTCTATTCAGAAAAAGTTGTACTTTTTGTTAAAGTAATAAATGTAGGATTTTGGGTGTTTTAAAATGTTTCACTTTTTTTTCTTAATCCATAGGTGGTATACTTAACAGATTCTCAAAAGATACGGCAGTACTGGATGACTTACTTCCACTTACAGTATTTGACTTCATTCAGGTTTGTAGAATAAACGTTCTGAATTTTGCTGTAAAATTTCAGTCATACATCATGCAAAAGAAATCGTATTAATAAGAAGAGATAACAACTGGAATTAAATCCCTCTCCCTTTTTTCCCATCTGTATATCTATATTACATAGCTGCTTATCTTGTTGGTCAACTTCATTGATTCTTTTTTGAGTACTTGCCTATATGTGCAAGTACTTGCCACTCTGCAAATGACTTCTAGTGCTGACGCTCAGAAACATTTTTGCCCTGCAGACAAATTTGACTGCCTAATTTTGTCTTTTATCCTTTGCATCTTCGTGGCTTCCCCTAAGTCTCTGGGGTTTAGGCTGAGTCTGTCAGGCGCTGGATAACTATTTGTGATGGAGGAGAACTTTAGATGACTCTACTCCTTGGGGAAATTTTACATCCCTAAGAGTTGGAAAATTGTGAACTTTTTATTTTTTGGATGGAAAGGCTTGTTTCCAGAATACCTCCTGGGAAACTCCACGCATTGCAAAATCTTGAGTTTTGAATGACCTTCCAATTTCTCCACACGAAAGAGAACGTTGAGGAAACACAGAGATAGAGGCAATTCCAGTGTTTCTCAAGAAGGATACCTTTGTTTGCTCCCCATCCTGCATATTCTGGGACTTTGTGGCTCTGTGTGTATCCCAGCACCCCTCATTAGTGTCCCACCACTAATGCTGCAATGCCAGCTTTTCCTCAGATACAGGTTGTTCACAGAACATTTAAAGAATAAGAACAAATCTTCCCTGGCCCTCCTGTTCCTCTTTACCTGTATTCAGGAGATATGCAGGCCCAACTTAATTGACTCAGACACTCTACTGCACAGATTGCCTGTCTCCATCTGAGTTTGCTCTGCTTTACAGTCCCTACCAACATGACAATCTGTTCAAAACTGAATCCCTTTCCCTATATCTTGGACGGTAATTGATAACTTTGGCTCATGACTTCAGAGAGGCCTGTGTGGCTCCACTTGAAGAAGTTCAAGGACATTGCAGCTCTACTTCAAGTCCTGTTGCCGTCATGAAAATTTGCTGAATGAGCAAGCATGGAATCTGAATCGTTAATGCCATCTTCAGTGTCATCAGAATTCACTACTGTCTTTTCTGGTGTGACCATTTTGTTTCTGATATTTTGCATCTGCCATAGGGATGTTATTCCTAAATTATTTTTTTTTAGTCTATCTCTGTATTTCAAATGCTCTACAAGAAACTAGCTAGTTTTTCATGTTTTAAAGGATAAGGAAAATCCCTAGATTTGGCTTTTCTGTTCTGATGCCTTTCAGAGGCTAACCTATGCTCTAGTGTCCCATAGGTTCACCTCTGTCTCCTCAGTCCTAACTGCAGAGGCTCCTGAACATGCATGTTAAGCTGCTCTGTCTTTCCAGGTTCTTCTAGTGAAGATCATTGAACTTTCCCACTGCCTTGAATGCTTTTTACCAGTCATCTCTTCATAAAAAATTCCTTCTGATCCTCCATAGATTCAGACTTGTTTGGCAGCTTCAGACTTCCATGGACTCTTGCTAATGAATGAAGTCAGAGTCCTGTGAAAGATACAGAAAAGTTATACATATGACTTTCTCCGTCTGTGCTGATTATTGCAGAGCCACAGAATGTGGAAGGGACCTCTGGACCTAGGATCTGGGACATCTCCAACCCTTTTGCTCAAAGCAGGTTCAGCTAGAGCAGATTGCTCAGGGCCATGTTGGAGTTTGGATATCACCAAGGGTGGAGACTCCACAAGTTCTCTAACTAACCTGTTTCAGCGTTTGACCATCCCCACAATATAAATGCTTTTTCTTATGTTTAAATGGAGTTTTGTGCATTACAGCTTGTACCCATTGCCTCTTATCTTCCCACTGGGTGCTGTTGAGAAGAATCTGGTCAGGCTTATTTGCTTTGCATCAAATACATACTGCTGTTTGTGTAAATATAATATAATTTTAAAATATATATAATTTATAAAAATTATTTGCATATATTCACAAATTGATAATTTATATAAATAAAATACATACTGTCAGATACTTATACAAAGTGAAAAAATCCCCCTAAGCCTTCTCTTAAGGCTAAACAATCCCAGTTCTATCAGTCTGTCCTTGTACGTGAGATGGTCCAGTCCCTTTATCATCTTCAGGACCTTTCACTGGACTCACTCCAGTATGAATCACAGAATCACAGACTGCAGAGTGCATTCCAGATACAGTCTCACTGGTGCTGAAGAGAGGGGAAAGATCACCTTCCCTGATCTTCTGACAAGCTGCTGCTGTTGGGGGTCCCTTGCTGAAGGGGAGGTGTTGCTGCCTCATGGTCCACCAGGACCCCAAAGGCCTTCTCTGCAAGGCTGCTTTCCAGTCAGTCAGCCTCCAGCCTGTACCGGTGCATGTGGTTATTGCTTCCCAGGTGCAGAGATGTACAGAAAAGTCTAACTTCTGAATGTACCGGGATGCCTAAGTCTGAGTCTGGTGGAGATGGAGACTTGGTCTCTGCTAGCCTTCAGTTTATGTTTCTGTAAGTTCATCCTTCTGACTTCTGAGCTTTTCTCAAGAATTTGACAGAAAATTTTAGAGCTTCCTTGCTCCTTCTTCTATGAGAATGAGTTGGTAGATGACTCTGTCTAGGCGTTAGGACATATATGGGGGGCTTCCATTTTAGGCAGCAGCACTTTTCATCCAGGATGAATGAGGCTTCAGGATGAAAGAGGCCAGGGTTACTTTCCAGTCATTGGGATATATCCCGTTGCCTATAAAAGAAGAAATGGTATCAACTTTACATCAATGACAAGAGACAGCTTCCGTGATGTTTTCTCTGGCAGCCATCTGACCTGTACCTGTACATCTCTGGTATGAATTGAAGCCATCTAATGACTGCAGTAGTGTTACCACTAATCTTAACATCCATCTTGGTCTTCTGCCAGTGCTTACAGTGAGGTCATCATTTTTTGGAGATCCTTCATGCGAGATGCTGCTAGCATATATTGCTTGTCCCTAAGTTTTAATACAGTCACACTCAAAAGGTCATAGTGAACTCATTGGACATTTATACCTACGGTCATGACGTGCTTTCCCTAAATGATACACCCCCATTGGTTAACCAGATTGGCTGCTGCAGTCATTTACACCCTGAAGCCCTGCTGAATTGCTGTCTCCACCACCAGCTGCATTTTCCAAAATTGTGACACAGAGGAAGCATTGGAATGTGTCTCTTCATCTGGCCTCTGTCCCAGGCCTGAAAACTCAGCACCTGGGGTCACTGCAGCACAGCACTGTGGCTCTTAACTGGGCTGCATGAGCCCTTTGCTGCCATTCCCTGACCATATGCCAATGTAGCTGGCTTGTGTGCTGATTTTTGCTACTGTCTTTTTTAGAGAAGGTGTCATTTGGAGTGTTTGGAGTTCATGAAATAACACAAAATTTCATATTTAGCTTTTTACTGAAATAACTGTTGGACTAGTAGTGAGAACAATATGGCATCATGGTGGCCTTTGCAAAATTTGAGTAAATGATGGAAACAGGAATTGTTTACGTTACAAATGACTGTGTAATCTCAAGTAATGTGAGCGCCGTATAACTTGGCTCAGTATCAGTTGAACAGCTCATTTACTTCTTAACAGTTAAAGATACAAGAGGTACTAGATTCTGCAGTTTGAAATAATGAGTAAACACAAATCCATTCTTGCATTGCTACACTCCAGCCTTATACCACCTGCACAAGCATAACCCATGTGTGTCACCATTCTTTTAAGAGAACCGAGGAAAATACTGAAAGAAATCTTTAACTAGTTCAGCTGTTACAGTATTTTTTTAATCTCATATACTTTGATGTTGCTATTGTACTGCTCAGATTTCTGATTAAAAAAAAAGACTGGGAAACCTGGAACATGCTTACCTGTTCATGAAAGACCTCTGATTTGGAATACTGGGAATTTAAATACTTCCTTGAGTTTATGTGGATGTAGTAGCAAAAGCACCAACTGCAGGTTTCTTCCTAATGTGAAATTAGTTTTGCTTTTCATCTATTTCTTTGCTGACTAGGCATTTGCAGTGATGTTTCAATGCGATGTTCATAATTTTGTCCAAATTGTCCATTTGCAGTTGCTTTAGGCTGATAAGTTTGCAGTTTGATGTAGTTGTTTATTGTAAAAGGTAACACCCAGATACAAAGCAGAGCTTTGTTATTCTGTGTACACTGATGTACTTGATTTTCATTAGATTTAGGTATGACACAAAAACTCTCTAAGTGCTTAAAGGTGCTTCTAGAATGAAGATCAAGGCCTGATTTAGCTAAATCTCTCTGGAGCTACTGAGGATGAGGTCTTATGAGAATGGTAGTAGTCTCTGGTGGGTTAAATAGATTAACTCTGGAATGATTTTGTTCCTTTTGAGTCATCTGTCACCTTAAACCATTTTTTTCCTTCTGAAACTGCTAATTTTTCATACCAGAAGTCCTCTTACAACTTATTTCCTGCCTTCTGACCTGGACAAGTAGTAGTGCTAGTTTCATATGCAGGTTACAGTCCCTTGAGCAAGCGATGATATGCAACTTCCCGCAACTTGGGCCCGGAACCTGCAGGAGTCTGACACTCAGCTCCTGACAGTCTGGCATACCTAGCCCAGACAAGACAGGGACAGCACTGGTAGGTTTGGGAGATTGCTGCAGATATTGCAAATGTCGTTCTTACAGTTCTAACTGGAGAGTGAGAGCCTAGCTGCCATTGTTTTTGTGTAGCCTCATAATTTAGAAGCCTGCAATACTGCTAGTACTACAGAAAACACTTCTTTCATCTATTAGAAAAGATGGCAGCTTATACCAACAGGTTATGGATCTAAGTTATTCATGATTTTTTCATGGAGGTTTGTTCTCAGCTGCAAATCCTACTTAGGTTAGTACTGTGTATTTGTTGAAATAATACGTAATTGCCATGGGAAGGAGATTCGTCACCAACCTCTAGTCTATGAAGTGGCAAGTTTACTATATCAATAGTATTTTTCTTTCATTCTACAGTTAATACTGATTGTGATTGGCGCTATAACAGTAGTCTCAATATTACAACCCTACATCTTCCTGGCATCAGTGCCTGTGATAGCAGCCTTTATTGTGTTAAGGGCATACTTCCTCCACACTTCTCAGCAGCTGAAACAACTGGAATCTGAAGGTAGGAGCAGCAAAATTGGTAGACTTCTAAATCCACAACAAATCAATTGAGAAGTGATTCACCCTTTCAACTCTCCTTTGCCTTTTCTCTTGCAAGATGCCATTGTCTCTGGAAGCAGAACACATACCTCCTTAAAGCCAGTGCTGTTACTGATCCAGCCAATGCTGAGTGCTCTGCTACCAAAGAGCAATGGAGAAGATCTTTTTAAAGCTGGGCTTTATCACCACTGCAGCTGAAAACAAATAAAGTCTTGACATACAGTTTTCTTGAGAGTACATGTAACTTTAAAAATTGTGGTCAGACTTGGTACATGCCCTATGAGTTTATTTCTTTATAAGAAAAATTTACAATGGATATATCTTGATTGCAAAGAATTCTAATTTCTGAGTAAGTTATTTGACTAAATTTTCTTCCTCTCCCTCCATTAAGAGACTAACACGTTCCAAATAAAATGGAAAACCCCATTCTAAAGGGTGGGTTTGCAAATCAGGCGCTGTGGCCAGGCTTTACAACAAACTGGCAGATCCTCAGTGAATCAGTCCTGAATCTTAAACACTGATGATCATCCTCCCTTTTACTTAAGTGTATTTAATTCGGAAGTTCCTCAGATCTAAATCTAATTTTCTTTGACATTCACAGGGATCCAGCACTGGCTCACCACTTTTTATCTAATGCAAGGTCTGCTTAAAATTACCATATCAGTGCAGTTGAATCCAAAGCATTAAAGTACTCTGTGCTAAAAAAATTTCATTTGATGGAGTTAACAGAATTGCAGGAATTCATTCTGGCTGGGAAGGAGCCACCTTTTTCTTGGGGCACCTTACAGCAGGCCAGGAGCTTCCCCAAGTAGTATTCTAGCTACGAAGAATTAATGTGATCCCTTCCTGGCAATACGCTGAATGGAATTTCAACCCATTCATGCGAAGACTGTTATTGTATATCCTGTGCTAGGATTACTTCAGCCACGTACTGCAACAACATCTGTAAATTAAACACTGACAATAGTTACACTAGTGAGAGTTAGAGCATAGGGTTGTGTATTTGCGTTATATCGAAGATATTTGCTTATGAGTGTTTATGATGTTTCTAATTAAAACACTTTACAGCTCGGAGTCCTATATTCACCCATCTTGTTACAAGCTTAAAAGGGCTGTGGACACTGAGAGCTTTTGGGCGGCAGCCATATTTTGAGACATTATTTCACAAAGCCCTGAACCTACACACGGCAAACTGGTTCCTCTACCTGTCAACACTGCGCTGGTTCCAGATGAGGATAGAAATGATTTTTGTTCTCTTTTTTGTTGCTGTGGCATTCATCTCTATCATAACTACAGGTACGGTAACTTTACTGGAGTGCTGAAATGGAAGTCTTCTGCTTCTGTTTTAACAGCTCAACTTTAGAAACTTCCCAGGGAAATAAACCATTGCAAATTTTAGCATACATTGGAGTCACTGATTTAAGTATGTCAGAATAGTGAATACAATTTAATTAAAATAGAAATTACATCATTATTATCTGCAATCTGATGTTGTAGAGGACTCGTTAAAGGGATTAATCTGAAAATAATACCTGAAGGGACAGAACTTTCCTTTTCGTGACTGTAGTTGCTGTAAGTATAATCTTGTGTGTTTAAACCACATTAATGTAAACACATTAGTGTACTGAAGAGCTTGAGTGTTGATTATCATCTGCATAGCTCAAAGTTTTTGGTAAATAGAAGTTAACGTTCCTTTCATTTGTAAATGGCTAAGACATTCAAAGTTTTAATAATCTTTTAAAGCCACACTGATAGCAGAAATAGTCATCTAGTTCTCTAATTCCCAACCAACTGACCCATTTTCCCATGTGAAGGTTTGCAAAATCCCCTGAAAAATGGCTCACCACTCCTAGTAAACCCAGTACATGAATGAGAATCACTCTACACCTTACTATCTTCCTTGTATTTGAAATGCTGCCAGTACCTGGCCAGGCACAGCAAGTCTCCAACAAGCAGAGAATAAGAGAACAATGTCCCTAAAATGTTGGAATAATTCAGTTCTGTGGAAAAACTCAGCAGGTTTAGCTACAGATTACTTCAAATACAGTTTTTAATTCACCATGCTTTTGTTATATATGTTTTTCGATTTTGATTCTCGGGCATTATTCTCCCTCTCACAAGTTTTACACTGAACTTGGTGTGCAGGATCTGAATGCAGTTCCAATACTATGGTTGCTGATGAACAAGAATTTGCTGATTTTGTGAAGGAGATTTTTGGTTCTAACAATATCAAAATTTCATTTGCTCATACTTCAGTGTTGGAAAGGAGTTATGTAAAAGTGTACATTTTATCAAATATTGTATTGTGTCTGAAATGCTATCCTCTGTTTCCTGCACAAGGAGCATTCCTGATTCTTAGAAAAAACAAAACCGCAAAAATACATTTGCATGAAAATATGCACCTACAGTACTTTTGTTACAAAGGAGACTTTTAGTTCCCCTAAAATTTATAAGGAAACAATATCCCCTGCTTTCCCTTTTTTTTTTTTTTTTTTTTTACGCTTAGTAGTTTGGAGGGTTTTTTTTGAAAACTGTTTCTTGTGTTATTGTTTTTCTGGATATTTTATTTGAGAAAAGAGGTTAGAAGCACTTCTTAAAAACATGAAAATTTGTCATCTGGCCACCATTGTAAACTTTCCTGCTACAGGTAATAGGTCCTTGGAGCAACACTAAATTCCTTTTCTTAATATGTCAGCTTTCAGGAGGAATATTTTGTTTTTATTGTTTCCTTCTATAAATACTATATTAACAAGATGCCTTTAAGCAAAACAGGAGGAAGTTTGTTGAAGAAAGCCATAGAAGAAATAGAGAAATCATAGAAAGGCATTTGGCTTAAATTCTCAATTCCATTTGACACACAGTGAGATTAAAAATCAACAGTGGGGCAATTTAAATGCTTAAATTGTATTGTATAAACTCATAAAGGAAAATCCCTGGAAAATCCTACACTTGTTACAGCAGACAATTAAAGCAAAAGGATTTATATCTGCATCTTTGTGGAACTGTAAGGAGAACATGTCCTCTATTTGTCTAAGAAATGAAAATGTAAACCAGCACAACTATTTTGAATTTTAAAGTTGTTAGCTGTGGTGTTTTAGTTAGACAAGAGTCAGTTCACCAGTTCATGTATGTTGGAAAAAGGAAACTGAAATCAAGATTGCAGAGGCCTGATTCTGTTTAGAATTTAGGGTACCAAGATTTAATTTTTTCTTCTGCCAAAGCAAGATTAGGTTTTCTAGTGAATTCAGTGCCGAAGCCACGTGTTTAACTGATGATTAAGCTCTCAGTCCTTTGTATAATTAACAAATCCATGCTTTCTCCATGAAATAAGAGAGGAGAGATTGTGAATATGTATTTTAAGAGGTACATGCTAATTTTATGGTTTCTATTGGCTTTTTATTTGCATATGAATTGAATGTGTTTTTCTCTCTGCAGGTGATGGACCAGGTAGAGTTGGCATTATACTTACTTTAGCTATGAACATCATGGGAACCTTGCAGTGGGCAGTAAACTCAAGCATAGATGTGGATAGTTTGGTAAGCATGAAATGCACTGTGCTGTGCTTTCTTTTGAGGAATTGCCCTATTTTGTTGATTTTGGGTGTTCAGTGAGTTATTTTCAGAGATGGGTATCAGGCAGATGTGTCAGAAAAGCTCCCCTCATACCTTTCATAGCAATGTTTGTCACAGCACAAACTGAGTTTTTCTATGATCAAAAAATTTTCCTGGACTAGAATAGTCAACAGCAAATAATTGCATTTGAGGATTCAGATTGTAGATGGGAAAATCTTCAGAAAGGCTTGGAGTTGTTTTGTTATGATTATATACCTTACCTGGTCTACTTAAGGGCTTTGCACAGCAGATCACAACAGATGTTTTTGAGCTCCTTCCACACAAAATCAATGGTGATTTAAAAATCTGTCCTAGACTTCCCTGGAGGTCTTTTTTTACTTTTGTTTAAAATACCGTCCGACATAAGGCCATTAGTTAGGAATGGCTTTAAAACAGAATATTTCATAAGGTTAACTTATCATCACCTATTTGGTGAGATACGAGAAACAGACAAGAAACTCATAAAAGAATATGTTTATTCTTGCGGTTTTCATCATACTTTAGCTTAAATGTATGAAAGTTTTAGATGTTTTTAAGTGTAATAGTTACATCTCTCTTTACATTTCAGACATTCTAGGATTTATTTCAGACAGAATTCTTGTAACAAAATTCAGTAGTCTTATAAACCAAAATAAAATTTCTGAGAAAAAAAAAATCTCCCACATCCAGTCATACCCTCTCTGAACCCTAAATTAGCTTCTTGAGCCAACCATTTCAGTACTGGGAAACAAACAGCTCTTACGGCAGATCTTGGAGACCATTAAGTCCTGATTAGCTGAAATGAGTTGTCATTTGAAAAAAATATAGTTGGGGCAGATGTTCACAGTGAAAGACTATTTGCCAGTTTGACATATTTCTTTTTAAGTAAGCGATTCAACTACCTTCATCCTGAAGAAAATCCCTAAGAGCCCCAAAACTGGGAATTAGCCACTTACTTATAACATCTAATCTCTTGTTTACATGTGTGACTGGTGATAGCCCAGAAAGCTGACTGCCAGTCAGGGACGCATTTTTTCCCCTGTCCACCGCTTGTTTTGCGCTGACTCTTTCTTTGCTTGTTAGAACAGCCTGTCTTGAAGGGCAAGCACTTTGTGAAAGGGCTTCTTTGCTATAACTGCAAGACACGCCGAACAGCAGTTGCATGACCAATAGTGAAGTAAAACATGCCATTGGTAAGGCACGACAGTGACAACAATGTTCAGTCAGCTTTCATCTGTGAAGTCCGTCTTAGCCCTATGAGGCATAATGTGATCACTTTAAGTGTAACGATCTGTATAAGAATCATGTGCACGTATTATACAGCTTAATACAAACTGAAGGGGTTTCACAAGGGCAACAGAACGTCTTACTGTACGATTCAGAGGGTGCTGGACACACTAGTGCTTTAATAAAGAAGAGCTTCCTCTTTTTTAATATCCAGTGATGTTAACATGTCATCTATTAGTAGCAATAAGGAAGTGACGCCCTCTTCCCTGAAAAGAAAGTCTCAAGTTGCTTTAGATGTTTGTCAGTACTTTTCTCTATATTAAGACAAATTAGTGTACTGGAGCACTGGTTATATTATATTAATGATAGCCTTCTTAAAGAAGCTGCCCACCCCTGTCCCACAGATTTTTAGGTATCCCAGATGGCAAACTAATAGATATTGCTGGCAGGATGGTTTACATTGCACTGAAAAGCTGTTCCTGTGCACAAGCAGGTAAGAATAGCTTCATGGTTTCAAGATAACAAAACTGCTTCGCTGAGTGATGCAGGTGTACTGTTTCCCACTCTTTGCTTTCTCTACACTTACCTCTTTAAAGTCTTTTACAATTATTTGGTGGGAGATGTCCCGCAAAACCTTGAGACGTGTGTGTGACTTAGTAGTCTATTTTAGTTGTACTCCATTTTTCTCTCAAGGGGTACTTTCAAGCTCCCATCAGAACCAGATTGACTAGAACTGACACGTCTCCAGATGTCTCCAGTTGCAGATATGCACACACCGCTCTAGATGACATCACTCTTGCTCTTCTTTCAGCAGCTGTGACATCCACACTTACAAACCTGCACACAAGCATGCCTGAGTGTAGAGCACATTTGTAGGTCCTGGTCTTTGGTTGTTAGATAAGCTGGAGTTTCCACGAGTGGATGAAACCCATGTCCAAAGGCATAGCTGCTGTAATTAGTACATAACATTAAGCTCGTACTCAGTTGTTTTACAAGATATGCAAGGTACTGGACATCAGTGAAATAAATACAAGCAAAAGGACAGAAAGGAAGGAGAACAGGGAAGCAGGATCACGTGGAGAAGGAAAAAATGTCCAGGAAGAAATACTGGCCAAGCAGATGGATAGGTGGCAAATCTGACTTTATTCCACACAATCTCCTTCTTCAGCTTTCTGTGACACTGGCATACACACTGAAGAAATCTAAGTTTCTAGGTTGGATTTTGTTTTTATATACACAAATATTCTCTTTGAAGCGATTTCTGTTGAACTGGTTTGGCTTTAACTGAAAAATCTCCATTGTCTTTTAATACCCTGTAATGGTTTTGGCATTTCGTTCTCTACAGCCCTGATACTTTATCTGCTCTGCTTTTGCTTTTTACTTTTTTTTTTTTTTTCCCTAAACATATGTGGTCACTCTGACAGCTATCCATTGTTTCATTTAAAGCTACCAGTTAGGTTAGATTTATCTTTTCACTTTGATCATTTCTGCTAATATCCCTTTAGCTAGTTTTCAGTCTTTTTCTTATGCCTCCAGGCAGTCTTACAGTATTTTTAATTTTTTTCCTTCGTAAGGAAATAGAGAATAAGTTTTCCAGTAAGTGCTGCTTTCACGATAAGCATTGACTCATCCCAGTGGACTGTTTTAATGCTTTATAACCTCCTCCTTCACTGATGTGTATCCTGCAGTAGCAGCGATATAACTGGGAAGGACAATTCCTTTTATC